CGCTGAGTCAGAGCCGCCTCTGGCCGGGAGCTCAGCACTGCCCGCACGGGGGTCGGCGCTGGGGCTGCCTCTCGCTCTGTTGTTCGCCTCTAGACAAGGAGCTCCGGGACGAGCGTCCGCTCCAGAGCCCTTCCCTTCGAGATCTGAGCCGAGTGCTTAAACAAAAAGCTATTTGTTGATGGGGAAAACCAAGGAACTAAGTGTGTTTACTAAGCAAACTCTTTTCTTCTAACAAAATGCATATGAATGTGACAGGAACAGAATAGCTGGGTGAGCTCAACTGCTATTTTGAGAGCCCTTGTCTGTGTATCTCTTCATTTTGTGTTTTGGTTATTGTCATTACTGGTCACTGTGTTAGGAGTTACTATCAGGCTGGTGTATGAAGCACTGTTTATTTAAAGGACTTTTGGTCATTTCAAATTAGGAGAGCTCTTGGTGCAAAAGGCTTTCCGTTAAGGGGACTTCTATAAACAACTTTACAGAGACTTAAAGAAATTTCAGGTAATTGGGGGATTATTAGTTCCTAAAACAAAAAGTCTTGGTTTTGCCTGAAGTCTGCCCATCGTCCCTTTATAATGCTTGGGACCACTGAAAATATTTTCCATTTCCTTTGAAAAATGCCTTTACTTTTATGGATGAGCATTAAGGTTGTCTCTCTGCCATGTTTCCCTTGAACACCAGTAACTGGGGAGAACTGTGGAATAGCTTTTGATTTTTATTAAGTAAACCTGCAATCTAGACAGTCACAGTTGAAATTAACTTGCCCGATAAGGCCCCTGTTATCTCTGTATCTAAGTATCCAACAGCCTGTAATAGAGCTCAGCTCCTAATCATTCTGTGTGAGAGGATAAGGAGACTGAAAGTTTTTAGCAATGGGGCACAGAGGTCCAGAGAACCAAAGACTTGCCCAAAATTACAAGTGATTTCATCATAGCTTTTCTATGTATTATAGACTAGGGACTTGCCTGCTGGACTGCCTGTCTCTCTTCACCTTCTCAGTCCCTGCATGGAGTTTCTGCCTCTAAACACCCCAAGGGAGATGGACACTCCATCTGACTCCAAGAGGCAGCTGCAATGATTTTCTTCAAGCAAAACAGGCCGTTCCAATTGGATTAGGTTCAATTCCCTGCTGCCCCTCTGCCTTGCTGCCAGTGGAGACAGGGAGGGCCCTGGTGCCTCCCTTCTGGTGCAGGCACTGGGAAGGAGAAAGGCTTGTCTGTGCACACCGAAAGAAGCTTTTTGTCCCTTGGAAGATTAAAGATATGTTTAAAATCCAGTTCCTTGGCTGGCAGTTGTAGGAGATCTGTGTTTTCCTAGACCTAATGTCTAAATTTTAGAAATGTACGTGACTGCCCAAACCAATTGATGTCAGTACTTTCTGTGTGTGATGGGTGTACACAAAACTGATTTCACTATTCCCAAATTCCCCTACAGCATTAAAGTCTTGCAGTGATACAGGGACTCCGTGATTCAATCCAAAATCCTGCTTTTTATTCCTTTTTTTTCTTTCTTCAGAATCCTTCCCTCGCACAAATGAAGATTGAAGAAGCAAAACAGGAATTGGTAAGAGTTTATATAAATGGGTGCTGACATTCCAAAGCGAGCTCTATGCATTAATTGGTTGTGGATTTATCTACCCCAGACTATAGTCTTAATGATCTCCAGAGGGAAATTGTATTTTGGTAAGGTAGAAGCAATACATATTGGTAGGAGGAACTGTTGGAGGGATGAAGTCTGATGCTGCAAAGGCAGTTGGATGCAATAGTAACAGGGAGGATTAGGTAGCTAAATCCCTCTGGATTTGGTCTGCTTCACCTGCCAGAGTTTTCACTCATGTTGCAGCTTCCTGGTCCAATGCCCTTCATTACCACTTCTGAATTCTCAAGGGGCAATAAGGCCTATGGTTTGTTTAATAACTGCCTTGTGGCCTGCAATAGAGACCTTCCCCTATAAAACACTGTGCCTGATTGCAGGCTGCACAAGCATGGATAAGCATGATTGCTGGGAGATGTTTCATCTAAAGCTGTTTTGGAAGTTCATGTGTAGCTTTTCAGGAGGAACCAGGCCCAGTTTAAGCACAAAATCTGTCTTTGTCTTTAGGCTATGTCCTGTTTGCTTGTAGACACAGTGCAGGGTGTCAAATGATAAGCCTTAAAGCTGTGGTCAGAATCCTGGTTACCTGAGAGTACTTGATACATTTTTGGATGCAAATGCAGTGATTGGTGAGGCACCTATTTCTCTTTCCTAAACATAAATCCACGTTGCCAAAATGAGGCCTTTATCAGGTCAGAATGCTCACTCTGAAGTAAGTACCTACCTGTTCATCTTGAAAGTCCCTCTCGGGCACAGTATAAAGACCATTCAGCTTGTTTAGCCCTTCACTTGGTGATTTCTTTGTAGTTCTTGGAAAAGGATTTTTTCCTTTGCATTGTAAGCTCAGTAATAAAAATCCTCTAATTTATCACCATTCCTTATCTGTGTCATGTTGCAAGAAACTCAGAGATTGTGGCATGGAGTTGCACTTCTACTCACCCTGGAAGTTGTTTCTAAAAACTCTGCACCCCGAGGCCTACAGGGCTTCATGGACTGCTGTTGGAAGCCGAGCCAGATTACAAGACACAGACTCAATATGAGGTTAGATCTTGCTCTGTTTATTACCCGAAGCATGCGTATATTTATACATGCAAGCATCTGCGAGATTTCCAGGCTCGTTATGATTGGTTGCTAGGAGGGTTGCTAGGTCCCGACCGCATAGGCCTATGCTAGGCTTCTTCTCAGTTCCGCAAAGTTGTTTACCTGAAGCGGCTAGTTCCTCATTTCCCGCCGGCCAAGGACAGTTCATTGACACTCCCCTGTACATTATCAGCAAGGTGCGGGTGGTGCAGACTCTCAGCACAGTGACCGCAATCAATCAGCCATTCCTCCACAATTCCCCCTTTTTTCTTTTGCACCAACCAAGCCTTGCTAGTGAGCGAAAATATCATATGCCTAATACATGCAAAAGCACAGCTAAAGATACAAAGCATAAACAGTAAAACAACTAGTAACATTAGCCCCGATTTCACCAGCACACGCACCCATCCCCCAAGTCCAAGAAAGTCTGCAAAGCCTTCCAAGACAAAGAATCCGACGTCCTGCTGCACAGCGTTTGTGTGCTTCATTAGTTGATCAATC